TTTTCCCACCAGGAGACTCGAACCCTAGCCAGCACAGAAGCCTTCCAGCAACTGGCATAACAGGTACGCCTTAACCCGCTCCACCACCCGCTCAGACCCTTAAAAGAGATGGTAATTTTGGAGTATTTAAATAACCCAAAGATCAACACCTCCCAAGAGCACCAGAGCAAGTGAGGGGTCATTTATTCGTTAATTTCATCAGGTCCCTGTTAATATGGGAAGACACAGTGTCTCTGCTTAAGGCACAACTCTCCTAAACACGAGAGTTAAGTATACAACTTTAGAACACTTTCCCACCAGGAGACTCAAACCCTAGCCAGCACAGAAGCCTTCCAGCAATGGCATAACAGGTACGCCTTAACCCGCTCCACCACCCGCTCAGACCCTTAAAAAGTCTTAACAAAAAATTTAAAAAATATTAAAAAAATTAACAATATTGTTAATAGAAACGTTATCCCTACAGACAAAAATCAGAGGATACAACTGACGATTTACTATAAAACCAGAAAAAACGGCCAGCCTTCTCATGAGAAACTCTCCAGACACAAAACAGAACGCTTTAAAAGAGACTAACGTCGTCTATGCCTTCAAATGCCCACTTGGGGACTGTAAGCTCCAAAAAACCCAGTATATAGGCAAGACAACAACATCTCTTTCTAGGCGTTTAACGATGCATAAGCAACAGGGCTCCATTAAGGAACATATAATTTCTTCCCACAACCAAACCATTGCCAGAGAAATCCTAGTAAACAACACAGAAATCATCGATAGATACAGCGATAGCAGGCGGCTTGACGTTTGCGAGGCACTACACATCAAGAAGTCAACACCAGCAATCAACAGCCAATTATTGCACAACTATATTCTACCCACCTCAAGACTCCGCTCCAATATAGAAGCATCAATAAATATGGACCAATAGGCTTTCTACAAACACTTCTATTCAATACCCATTGTTTGTGTTCTGTCTTGTGTTGATACTTTTAATACCCTATTAATATCCCCTCTTGTTCTGTCTTGTGTTAATGCCACATCACCCTCCCACCTCACTCAAATGTAGATATAAAATCGGAGATACGTAAGTTCTAATCAGTTGTGTATTTGTGAACTAAGTCTTTGAAAATGTAATAAGTTTACGAAACGCGCCCGTGTCGCGTCAGACTAGAAATAAAAATGAATTTTGGAGAATTGATTTTTGATTTACCTCCAACAGTGAAGCGTAATGTACGAAAGATTGAGAAAATTCGTGTTAGAATTATTAATCTTACTTTTTTCGGTCATATTTAATAATATATATATATATATATATATATATATATATCTGGCTGAAAACTCACACCCCAGAAGTGACTCGAACCCATACTGCCAGGAGCAACGCAACTGTTATGTACAGGGACGCCTTAATCCGCTTGACCATCACGACCGGACATAAGGAAGTGATAGCCGAAGCTATTTGAACCACTTCCCCGCCGGCACTCGGATGGTAATCTTGGGCATAGCATTTTATCAAATCATCTCATTCTTTGGGGCACACGTGAGGAACACAAATGCAAACAAGCCTGAATGGTCCCCAGGACTATATACAGCTGAAAACTCACACCCCAGAAGTGACTCGAACCCATACTGCCAGGAGCAACGCAACTGTTATGTACAGGGACGCCTTAATCCGCTTGACCATCACGACCGGACATAAGGAAGTGATAGCCGAAGCTATTTGAACCACTTCCCCGCCGGCACTCGGATGGTAATCTTGGGCATAGCATTTTATCAAATCATCTCATTCTTTGGGGCACACGTGAGGAACACAAATGCAAACAAGCCTGAATGGTCCCCAGGACTATATACAGCTGAAAACTCACACCCCAGAAGTGACTCGAACCCATACTGCCAGGAGCAACGCAACTGTTATGTACAGGGACGCCTTAATCCGCTTGACCATCACGACCGGACATAAGGAAGTGATAGCCGAAGCTATTTGAACCACTTCCCCGCCGGCACTCGGATGGTAATCTTGGGCATAGCATTTTATCAAATCATCTCATTCTTTGGGGCACACGTGAGGAACACAAATGCAAACAAGCCTGAATGGTCCCCAGGACTATATACAGCTGAAAACTCACACCCCAGAAGTGACTCGAACCCATACTGCCAGGAGCAACGCAACTGGTATGTACAGGGACGCCTTAATCCGCTTGACCATCACGACCGGACATAAGGAAGTGATAGCCGAAGCTATTTGAACCACTTCCCCGCCGGCACTCGGATGGTAATCTTGGGCATAGCATTTTATCAAATCATCTCATTCTTTGGGGCACACGTGAGGAACACAAATGCAAACAAGCCTGAATGGTCCCCAGGACTATATACAGCTGAAAACTCACACCCCAGAAGTGACTCGAACCCATACTGCCAGGAGCAACGCAACTGTTATGTACAGGGACGCCTTAATCCGCTTGACCATCACGACCGGACATAAGGAAGTGATAGCCGAAGCTATTTGAACCACTTCCCGCCGGCACTCGGATGGTAATCTTGGGCATAGCATTTTATCAAATCATCTCATTCTTTGGGGCACACGTGAGGAACACAAATGCAAACAAGCCTGAATGGTCCCCAGGACTATATACAGCTGAAAACTCACACCCAGAAGTGACTCGAACCCATACTGCCAGGAGCAACGCAACTGTTATGTACAGGGACGCCTTAATCCGCTTGACCATCACGACCGGACATAAGGAAGTGATAGCCGAAGCTATTTGAACCACTTCCCCGCCGGCACTCGGATGGTAATCTTGGGCATAGCATTTTATCAAATCATCTCATTCTTTGGGGCACACGTGAGGAACACAAATGCAAACAAGCCTGAATGGTCCCCAGGACTATATACAACTGAAAACTCACACCCCAGAAGTGACTCGAACCCATACTGCCAGGAGCAACGCAACTGTTATGTACAGGGACGCCTTAATCCGCTTGACCATCACGACCGGACATAAGGAAGTGATAGCCGAAGCTATTTGAACCACTTCCCGCCGGCACTCGGATGGTAATCTTGGGCATAGCATTTTATCAAATCATCTCATTCTTTGGGGCACACGTGAGGAACACAAATGCAAACAAGCCTGAATGGTCCCCAGGACTATATACAACTGAAAACTCACACCCCAGAAGTGACTCGAACCCATACTGCCAGGAGCCAACGCAACTGTTATGTACAGGGACGCCTTAATCCGCTTGACCATCACAACCGGACATAAGGAAGTGATAGCCGAGGCTATATGAACCACTTCCAGGCTTGTTTGCACTTGTGATGTGTAGCCCCCCAAATCTTGAGATGATTTGATAAAATGCTATGCCCAAGATTACCATCCGAGTGCCGGCGGGGAAGTGGTTCAAATAGCCTCGGCTATCACTTCCTTATGTCCGGTCGTGATGGTCAAGCGGATTAAGGCGTCCCTGTACATACCAGTTGCGTTGCTCCTGGCAGCATGGGTTCGAGTCACTTCTGGGGTGTGAGTTTTCAGCTGTATATAGTCCTGGGGACCATTCAGGCTTGTTTGCATTTGTGTTCCTCACGTGTGCCCCAAAGAATGAGATGATTGATAAAATGCTATGCCCAAGATTACCATCCGAGTGCCGGCGGGGAAGTGGTTCAAATAGCTTCGGCTATCACTTCCTTATGTCCGGTCGTGATGGTCAAGCGGATTAAGGCGTCCCTGTACATAACAGTTGCGTTGCTCCTGGCAGTATGGGTTCGAGTCACTTCTGGGGTGTGAGTTTTCAGCTGTATATAGTCCTGGGGACCATTCAGGCTTGTTTGCATTTGTGTTCCTCACGTGTGCCCCAAAGAATGAGATGATTTGATAAAATGCTATGCCCAAGATTACCATCCGAGTGCCGGCGGGGAAGTGGTTCAAATAGCTTCGGCTATCACTTCCTTATGTCCGGTCGTGATGGTCAAGCGGATTAAGGCGTCCCTGTACATAACAGTTGCGTGCTCCTGGCAGTATGGGTTCGAGTCACTTCTGGGGTGTGAGTTTTCAGCTGTATATAGTCCTGGGGACCATTCAGGCTTGTTTGCATTTGTGTTCCTCACGTGTGCCCCAAAGAATGAGATGATTTGATAAAATGCTATGCCCAAGATTACCATCCGAGTGCCGGCGGGGAAGTGGTTCAAATAGCTTCGGCTATCACTTCCTTATGTCCGGTCGTGATGGTCAAGCGGATTAAGGCGTCCCTGTACATAACAGTTGCGTTGCTCCTGGCAGTATGGGTTCGAGTCACTTCTGGGGTGTGAGTTTTCAGCTGTATATAGTCCTGGGGACCATTCAGGCTTGTTTGCATTTGTGTTCCTCACGTGTGCCCCAAAGAATGAGATGATTTGATAAAATGCTATGCCCAAGATTACCATCCGAGTGCCGGCGGGGAAGTGGTTCAAATAGCTTCGGCTATCACTTCCTTATGTCCGGTCGTGATGGTCAAGCGGATTAAGGCGTCCCTGTACATAACAGTTGCGTTGCTCCTGGCAGTATGGGTTCGAGTCACTTCTGGGGTGTGAGTTTTCAGCTGTATATAGTCCTGGGGACCATTCAGGCTTGTTTGCATTTGTGTTCCTCACGTGTGCCCCAAAGAATGAGGTGATTTGATAAAATGCTATGCCCAAGATTACCATCCGAGTGCCGGCGGGGAAGTGGTTCAAATAGCTTCGGCTATCACTTCCTTATGTCCGGTCGTGATGGTCAAGCGGATTAAGGCGTCCCTGTACATAACAGTTGCGTTGCTCTGGCAGTATGGGTTCGAGTCACTTCTGGGGTGTGAGTTTTCAGCTGTATATAGTCCTGGGGACCATCAGGCTTGTTTGCATATATATATATATATATATATATATATATATATATATATATATATATATACATATATATATATATATATATATATATATATATATGTCGTACCTAGTAGCCAGAACTCACTTCTCAGCCTACTATTCAAGGCCCGATTTGCCTAATAAGCCAAGTTTTCTTGAATTAATATATTTACTATAATTTTTTTCTTATGAAATGATAAAGCAACCCTTTTCTCTATGTATGAGGTCAATTTTTTTTTATTGGAGTAAAAATTAACGTAGATATATGACCGAACCTAACCAACCCTACCTAACCTAACCTAACCTATATTTATAGGTAAGGTTAGGTTAGGTAGCCAAAAAAAGCTAGGTTAGGTTAGGTTAGGTTAGGTAGGTTAGGTAGACGAAAAAAAACATTAATTCATGAAAACTTGGCTTATTAGGCAAATTGGGCCTTGAATAGTAGGCTGAGAAGTGCGTTCTGGCTATTAGGTACGACATATATAAATATATATATAAATATATATTTATAAATATATATATATATATTAAATATATATATAAATATATATATATAAATATATATATATATATAAATATATATATATATATATGTCGTACCTAGTAGCCAGAACTCACTTCTCAGCCTACTATTCAAGACCCGATTTGCCTAATAAGCCAAGTTTTCCTGAATTAATATATTTACTATAATTTTTTCTTATGAAATGATAAAGCTACCCTTTTCTCTATGTATGAGGTCAGTTTTTTTTTATTGGAGTTAAAATTAACGTAGATATATGACCGAACCTAACCAACCCTACCTAACCTAACCTAACCTATATTTATAGGTAAGGTTAGGTTAGGTAGCCAAAAAAAGCTAGGTTAGGTTAGGTTAGGTAGGTTAGGTAGACGAAAAAACATTAATTCATGAAAACTTGGCTTATTAGGCAAATCGGGCCTTGAATAGTAGGCTGAGAAGTGCGTTCTGGCTATTAGGTACGACATATATATATATATATATATATATATATCAAACTGAAAACTCACACCCCATTCAGGCTTGTTCGCATATATATATATATATATATATATATATATATATATATATATATATATATATATATATATATATATATATATACACACATACACACACTAGGAAATGGGGTATACCTCTCAGTGTATTTCATTCCTTATGTGACAGGTGTTTATTATTTTGGTTCAAGGCAACAGCTGGCGACCTTGGACCAGAGACAACAGGTGCTTTGTGAGACCATCAATGAAAGTCTACCTGCATTGATGTCTCCGTGACACCCGTGCCAATGCAGGGGAGAGCATTGATGGATAGGGGGGGGGTTTCAGATGAGGCTTTGGTCTGTCTAATCTACTGTAGCGAATTCCATCAAATACGCACACACCCTGACACACACAAACACGTAATTAGAGCCAACCAACACTGCACCTAGACAGGTCAACGCTCTCTAAACTCACCTGTAATCCTGCAGAGGTGAGATCATACGACAAGACGGTGGAGATCACGGAGCTGGAGGTGCCAGAGTCGCCCAGGGCCGGAGACGACGTCACCCTCACCTGTCGCTTCAAGCTGCACGGCAACGGACACAACCTCTACACCGTCAACTGGTGGCGGGGCAAGGACCAGTTCTACACCTACAAGGGCACCAACCACGACTCCAAACATGCCTTCACCTTTCGCGGTATACAGATGAAAGTGAGTAACCATGCTTTCTTGCCAACCATGTCTTGCAACCACGCTGGCTACCATGCTGTCTTGCCAACCATGTCTTGCAATCATGCTGTCTGGCCAACCATGCTGTCTTGTAACCATGCTGGCTGGCAACCATGCTGTCTTGCCAACCATGATGTCTTGTAACCATGCTGGCTAGCAATCATGCTGTCTTGCCAACCATGATGTTTTTTAACCATGCTGTCTTGCCAAACATGATGTCTTACAACATGCTACCTTACAATCATGCTATCTTACAACCATGCAGCACTAAATCCTATTAAAATACAACACTGCTGCCCTACAACCAATGCCACACTACAATTAAATTACATTACAACCATGCTTCCCTATACCCTAGTTACTCTTCAGTGTTGATGCAGAGAGCCCGTCCTCCTAAGCTCTCCCCAACATCTAGAAACTGTCGTATCCTAACCAACCAGAGGACCCAAAACAGAAAACGGGACGATGTGTCAATTTCGCCAGCCGCTAGCTAATATTTTCTTGTACGACCATGTAACACCACTATATTGTAACACCACTATATACATAAATTAAGACGCTGCCACCATCTGCCTTTCCATTTACTATATCAAGCAACGAGGCAAGAAACATTGCTTGACTTGGAGAGTACTCTTTCTTTAACTGTCAATATTTATGGGACGGTTGTTAGCCAAATATATTCAGAAGTTAAGGGGATTCAACAATTGATACAGAGGGGAAGTTTAACATGAGTTTATTAAGAACAAATTATGTAATTCACTACTCATAAAATCCTACTTTAACACTGGCAAATTGTTACGGATCCAGACATGGAAACATATCAAAGATCACACACATTACCTTAAGATAACTCTCTGCCTCTCAATCGGGTGTATTCACTGTCTCCTGAAGCTTGCCTGATGACCTGCCACCTCACGGACCTGCAGCTTCACACACACTCTCCGACCCTCCACCACTCTCTCTCTACTAACTATCATACAGGGGTATATATCCAACTGAATGAGAAGGGGGGGGGGCGTTTTACACTGATGTGGGAACGTCTGGGGTGGACCTGTTCCCAGCTGATTCAGCCAACTTGGTTAGCACATGAGGGCGTCAGCTGCCCATGACGTACAAAAAAGCAATCAAAATGTATCATTAGGTTGTTGTGCTAAGACTATCAGGATTTTCATAAACAGGGAACAAGCTGACTAGGCTGGGGCCAGATGCTATTTCAATTAACTCTAGCTGAATCTGAGGTACAGGCTGATCTTACCAGGGCGTTCCCATGGTGAGTCATGGGTGCACTCTCCCGGCGTTACAACCAGTTTTGGCCGTAGGAAGAGTATACGTCAAAATGCGACTCTCTGTTCGGCCGGGTTGTCCACTGAGGTGACGACACTCACTATAATCCTCCACTGAGGCGACGACACTCACTATAATCTTCCACTGAGACGATGACACTCCCTATAAACCTTCACTGAGGCGACTACACTCACTATAAGCCTCCACAGAGGCGACGACACTCACTATAAGCCTCCACAGAGGCGACGACACTCACTATAATCCTCCACTGAGTCGACGACACTCCCTATAAACCTTAACTGAGGCGACTACACTCCCTATAATCCTCTACTGAGGCGACGACACTCTAAGGCGACTACACTCCCTATAAACCCCAACTGAGGCGACGACACTCCCTATAATCCTCCACTGAGGCGACGACACTCCCTATAATCCTCTACTGAGGCGACGACACGACACTCACTATAATCCTCCACTGAGTCGACGACACTCCCTATAAACCATCACATATCGACCACTTGAGGCGACTACACCCTATAATCGACCAATAAGTTAAGAAAATACACAGAACCTTATATATTGTTTGATAACGAGATCTGATCTCGTTCCATTGCTTGCGAGGATCGCTTTCATTTGATCGAAACTGATCAAGTGTTTTGATAACACTCAATATCGGTATAATTATTGTGTTCCCAATGTTTTCCTTGATATCAGGTCATGTATTTATATGCAGAAGTTGAATGAATATGTTAAAGAGATAAGGCACATGTTTGCTTGTCAACAATTTAGATACACTGTCTGTCATTCTCTCTCTCATTCTCTCTCTCTCTCTCTCTCACCAGGAGGAGGAGTCGACGCGGGAGTCAGTTGTCCTCAAGAACGTGTCCGAGGACACTTCAGGGGTCTTCAAGTGTGAGGTGATGGGTGAGGGTCCCTCCTTCAGGACAGCCGTCGAGACCAAGGTCATGAATATCATAGGTGAGTGATGGGGGAATGGAAAGGGAGGGGGGATGTAGGGATGGGGAAGGTATTGGTATAATGGAAGGGTAACTAGGTAAATATGAGACTAGTTAAATATATATGGTGGAAGCACTGTGGAAAGCGTGATAGCGAGTGATGGGTTAATGAGGAATGGAACGGTAATTGAAGAATGTGGGATGGAAATGGAAGGGGTAGAGGATGAACAGGAAGGAAATGGGAGAGCAAAGAGTTTATTGGAGGTGTTTCATGGGAGAAACGGAAAAGGGTATGTATATGTGTGTGTGTGTGTGTGTACTCACCTAATTGTGCTTGCGGGGGTTGAGCATTGGCTCTTTGGTCCCGCCTCTCAACTGTCAATCAAATGGTGTACAGATTCCTGAGCCTACTGGGCTCTATCATATCTACATTTGAAACTGTGTATGGAGTCAGCCTCCACTACATCACTTTCTAGTGCATTCCATTTATTAACTACTCTGACACTGAAAAAATTCTTACGTCTCTGTGGCTCATCTGGGTACTAAGTTTCCGCCTGTGTCCCTTTGTTCGTGTCCCACCCGTGCTGAAGAGTTTGTCTTTGTCCACCCTGTCAATTCCCCTGAGAATTTTGTAGGTGGTTATCATGTCTCCCCTTACTCTTCTGTTTTCCAGGGATGTGAGGTTCAGCTCCTTTAGCCTTTCCTCATAGCTCAATCCTCTCAGTTCCGGGACGAGCCTGGTGGCATACCGCTGAATCTTCTCTAACTTTGTCTTGTGTTTAACTAGGTATGGACTCCAGGCTGGAGCTGCATACTCCAGGATTGGTCTTACATAAGTGGTATACAGGGTTCTGAAAGATTCCTTACACAAGTTTCTGAGGGCAGTTCTTATATTGGCCAGTCTAGCATATGCCGCTGATGATATTCTTTTGATGTGGGCCTCTGGGGACAAGTTCGGTGTGATATCAACCCCCAGGTCTTTCTCTCTATTTGACTCTTGCAGGATTTCACCTCCCAGATGATTCCTTGTGTTCAGCCTCCTGCTCCCATCGTCTAATTTCATCACCTTACACTTTCCCGAGTTGAACTTTAGCAGCCATTTTCTAGACCATTCCTCCAGTTTATCCAGGTCATCCTCTAGTCTCTGTCTATCTTCATCCGTCTTGA